GCACCTATAGTCCCAGCTGCTTGGGAGGCCAAGGCAAGAGGATCACTTGAGCCCAGGAGTTTGAGGTTGCTATAACCTATGATGCTATGGCAATCTATCCAGGGCAACAAAGTGAGACTCTATCTCAAAAAAACAAAACAAAACAACAACAACGACAACAACAAAAAACCACTAAGTAAAATAAAGTTATAGATTTGTAGGCTGGGCATAGTGGCTCACGCCTGTAATCCCAGCACTCTGGGAGACCTAGGCAGGCCAATGCTTGAGCTCAGGAGTTTGAGGCCAGCCTGAGGAAGACCAAGACCCCTGTCTTTACTAAAAATACAAAAACTAGCTCGGTGTCATGGCAGGTGCCTATAGTCCCAGCTACTTGCGAGGCTGAGGCAAGAGGATTTCCTAAGGCCAAAAAAGTTTGAGGTTGTTATGAGCTATGACACCAGGGCACTCTACCCATGGCCACAGAGTAAAGACTCTGCCTCCTTTAAAAAAAAAAAAAAAAAAAAAGTTGTAGATTTAGGGGCAATGAAAATGTTCTAAAATCGGCCAGGTGTGGTGGCGCTGGCCTATAGTCTCAGCTACTCCAGAGTCGCAGATCACTTGAGCACAGGAGTTGGAGGCTATACTGGGCAACTTAGCACCCTCTTAAAAAATGAATATGTAAGAAAAATAAAAGTGACTGTAGTGAATGACTGATGGTTGAACAACTCTGTGAGAATAAAACTACTGAACCATGACTATTAAATGGGTGAACTGTATGGTATATGATTTACATCTGAATAATGCTAGTTTTTGTTTTTGTCTTTGGGAAGTTGATGGGGGAGTCTTGCTGTGTTGCCAAGGCTGGACTCAGATTCCTTGGCTCAAGGGATCCTCCTGCCTCAGCATCTTGAGTAGCTGGAACTACAGGCAGGCCACTGGGCCCAACTTTTTTTTTTTAAGTTGTAGAGAATCCCAAATGAATAAACAGCCCTGTCCATTTAAACCAGTAATTTCTCTCAAAGGACCTAGTATTTTCTTAGCCATTATGTTCTATGTAAAAAATTCTTAGCCTAAGACATGGCTCTGGCTGTTCATTTTTTCCTTTTTAAAAACCCAGCAACAAAGCCCTTCTGTCTTTTTTCTCTGCGTCCCTGGTAGCATTGTCTTTTCTAATGAAGATTCATCACGGCAGATGAGGATATCAACAGAAAGGCTTTACCTCGCTTTCTCAGATCCCCTGCTAGCACTCTTCTCTTGCTCTTTCTCCACCATAAACATGGACTTTATGTCTTTCTTTTTACCTTACCAGAGAATAAGTTAACATCATCATATATTTTGCCCCAGTAACAGGTTCCTATTGGGTACTCTGACTTGTCACCCTGTTCATCTCTGTGCAGGCACCTCGGATATTTCTCATGTGACTTGAGCTAAATCAACAGGCTCAAGTCCACATTGAAAGCTCCCTATTCCACAAAAGCTGGAAAATAGCCCTACTTTCCCCCTAACTTGAATCTTAACAAAAATAGCTCACCACAAAAATTGACTTTCTAAAAGTATTCCTAATCTTCCTCCCTCAAGTTTACTACAAACTTCCAGATACTTCCAGAACCACACAGTAGTGAAATACACTGCACTCTTGGCTGCCTTACAGTGATTTTTGGGAAGGTTTCTAGAATGTAGTAGATGTAGACACTTCCTCTCCTGGGCTCCTGCCAATGCACAAAGCTTTTTCAAAACATTGGGCTGTCTGAAGAGTCGAGAATTTTCTACTTCAACAGATTTCTGTCATAATTTTCTTCATGAGTAAATGCTATTTCCAGAAAATACAAATGCTTTTGCTGTAGCAACAAAAGGCTAATCACAAATGTTGTTTAAATTTTGAACTCTGATGAGAGTTTAGATTTCAGAGAAGATATTTTTTCATTGCTAACATACATTCTGTCAAAATAAAAAAACATATATTTTGTCACTAAAGTTTCTTTGTCATCTTTCATTGTCCTTAAACTGCACTATGAATCAAAAACCATTAGCCTATATAGAAATAACTACAAAGGAGAAAAAGATGGTATTTTCAACTCAAAAATATTGAGAATCACATAGGTTATATAAAAATTCAAAATATCAATCACATAAACAAACAGTACCTTACATCATGCTTCAGAATAGATTCTAGATGCACTGAACAGTTATAATCAACAATAACAAAAGGAAAGTCAGTCATTGGATCACTAAAAGCAGAGAATGTTTAAACTCAAAAATGAGAAAATATATCAAAAGACAGATGGAATTTGAATATACAAAATAATTTAAGTTTCTATGTCAAAAAAACCTACTAACTAGGAAACCATTTAAAGAACACAGAGCTCTTTTAACAAGCTAAATACAAATCAACTTTAAAAAAACACTCAAGATGAGGCCAGAGTGGTGGCTCACACCTATAATCCCAGCACTCTGGGACACTGAGGCGGGCAGATTGCCCTGAGCTCACAGGTTCAAGAACAGCCTGAGCAAGAGTGAGACCCCATCTCTAAAAAATAGCCAGGTGATGTGGCTGGCTCCTGTAGTCCCAGCTACTTGGGAGGCTAAGGCAAGAGAATTGCTTAAGCCCAAGAGTTAGAGGTTGCTGTGAGCTGTGACGCCACAGAACTCTACTGAGGGCAACACAGTGACACTCTGTCTCTAAAAAAAAAAAGACAGAAAGAAAGAAAGAAACATATCCTTTAATTTGTAAAGTTAAGTGAAAAAACAATATTTTTGTTGTTGTTGTTGCAGTTTTTGGCGGGGGCCAGGTTTGAATCTACCACCTCCAGTATATGGGGCCAGCACTCTCCTCCTTGAGCCACAGGCACCATCCCAAAAACAAGATTTAAAAATTAACATCATGCCACTCTGTTGGAATCTGTACTGAATGAGATTTTCACTGTTTTGACAGACAATTAAACTGTTCAAAACAAAGAAAAAAATCATAATATGGTCGTAAAAGTATGCAAGAAAATATTGCAGAGGAAATTCACCAAAATGTAGCTGTCTCTGGATAATAGAACATTAGGTGATTTTTTCCTATATCTCTGTAGTTTCCAGATGTCCTATAGTATAGTTATTTTATAGTCACAAAAAATTGATTCCATGCATAATAATAATGTTAAAACATCAACTCTCAGATTAAAATACCCCAAAGTTTTCAAGGTAACTATTCTCTAACAAAAAACTAAGAAATACTGTAAGTTTGAGTATGTTCCATTTTCCAACTCCAAAAGCCTCCATATTTCTCTTTCTCTCCTTCTCTAAGAGACTTAAGCCTAAAAACAGCCCAATTACCTACTTGTGAAAGTAGCACACTTTCTCATCCTTTTCTCCTACAGACAGACATATATCCTAGGCTAAGCTAGTCACTGACCCTCACCCCCATGAACATAATGGTTGAGGGATGGGCTTATGAGTTGTAGAGAGCAGCTCCTTCTAGAGTTGGTAAGCTGAGATGTGAATTTGGAGTCACCCTGTGACCATCCTTCCCACTTATTTAGGATCTATTAACAGGACAAAGTCATACAGAGATAAGCAATTCCACCAGCAGAGTCCTGATTCTTCACAACTATTGCTTTGAATCTGTGAACCATCCCAATAATCTCTCAAGCCAGCTAAGAAAGCCTGTAAATTCTTTTCTTTCTTTCTTTTTTTTTTTTTTTTTGAGACAGAGTCTCACTTTGTC